ACGAAAATAAAAAAATAAACGAAAAAATATATATGCATTTATACCAGGAGAACTTTGGGTTGATTCTGAGTCTTAGTTCTTTGTGTACGTGTGTGTGTGTGTGTGTGTGTGTGTGTGTGTGTGTGTGTGTGTATGAGTGTATTGTCTGCATGTATCTAAGTACACCCATGTCATGCAGTGCACACACAGGCCAGAAGAGGGCATTGGATCCCCTGGAACTGGAGTTACTGATGGTTGTCAGCTGCCATGTGGGTGCTGGGATCTGAACTCCGGTCATCTGCAGAGCAGGCAGTGCTCTTAACCACCAAGCCATCTCTTCAGCCTTGAGTCTTTTATGCAATAAGAAGTTGATTAGAAAATTTCCAAAGTGTTTCTCTCTCTCTCATTTTGTTTTGAGACAGGATCTGTTTCTGACTTTGAAATCACAGTATTCACAATTCTGCTTCAGGCTTGCAAGTGCTAGGATGGCCCTTCCTTTCACTTTTCTAACTAGATGTGATACTTTGATCTTCTTGAGGCTTACTCAAGCATTCTAGGTAAGGCAAAATACAGGAAAATGCTTCCTACTCAGGTTAAGTGAATAGCTGAATGTGTCGGATCTCCTAAAGAGATATCACCAAGTGGAGGAGGAGAGTCTACATTTCTGTCACCATGAGTGGGCACGCTACTGTGTGCTACACAGTATGCAGGGCCAGGCATGGCCTGGCATGGGACAAGTAACTTACTGTAGTGCTCTGATTTTGCAAAGTACTGGTCTACACAGGCTGGTAAACAACTCAGATTGCAACCTCTACAGTAAGTACTGTGGCTTGACCTAGAGCCTTAGGGACATGTTAGGTACCTATTTGGATGGTGGCAATACTTGAGTTCACCTTTAGAGAGAGTAAACATGGGTAATTGGGGACAAGTTGCACCCTGTAGGCTTTCTGTTGGAACTTGACATTCTGTTCTGGGAAAGTAGAAAAAAGTCTGTTAAGGAAATAAGAGAGGGGGCTGGAGAGGCAACTCAGGGGTTAAGGACACTTGCTGTTCTTCCAGAGGACCTGGGTTCGATTCCCAGCACCCACATGGTGGCTCTGTCATCTTCTTTCAGACTTTGTGGGAACTATATGCATAGCAGTAAACATAACTAGCAATCAAAATACTTGTATGAATAAAATAAAAAAATCATAAATCATTTTTATTTTTTTTAAATAAAAAAAGGAAATAAGACAGGTTGGAGACTGTACTCTAGTTACTGCCCAGCCCACTGTCCCCTTGCAGTATACTCAGACTATCTGGAGGGAGGAAGTCTGGAATGATCAATTGAATGATGGGTCCCCTTCCATGTGATCTCACCATTCACTAACTTTACTGTTTGGCATTTCAGTTCTCTGGGCTAGAGTTTCCTCAGAAGTTGACAGTCTACAAGGTCTTAGTTAGTGCAGATGAGTCCTTCAGTGCCCAGGGAATCTTATACTAGCTACTAGTCACAGGGTAGTTGAGCTGTTCCTTCCCTCTCACCCACCAGATGGCAGACATATGCCAAAAAGTCTCCACAAATACTACCAAGGTCCCTGTCAGCTCAGACTATATAATCAACATATGCTAATAAGTTGTTTTGTTTTGTTTTTTTTGAACTACAGAAGGTTTACAAAATTCCATGGAGACCCTTCCTGGTAGCATCTTGAAGTATGGGGAGTTGAGGTTCAGAGAAGACAACAGATCCCTGGGCTCTGATTGATGCTCCCTGCCTTGGTGAAGCCATTTGTATTCAGGGAGGCACCCCTCCTGGCACTGCTGTATTTAATTCTGGATTTGATATAAATAGAACTTGGCACTCTGTTAGAGCACACCACCCACCACAATGTTCCGGTCCTTTGGGGACATCAACCAAATCTGAGCCTTTGATTCCCTCTAGTGGCCTCATTCAGCAATTCTCATAGCTGATTCTGCATCTATTTGTTCATCTTGCAGCAAGGGCCTCCTGTATGCACTCAGTTGGTGCTAGGTTCTCTCACTTTGTGCGGGGTTAGGGCAAGAGTTTCATTTGTGCACTGTTGACTTTAATAGAAATAAAATCCAGGGTTCCTTCTTCCAACATCATCTTAGTAAAATGCAGACAAAACGATTTCTCAGCTGTCCTGGAGCTGTTTTATGGGTACTGAAGAAGGATGGGTAGTGACATAGGTTATTTCTGCTCTAAATTAGTTATTAGTCTCCTGGATCAACTCTTCTCCCATTGTACCTTAGTTTGCTCATTGGTAAAACAGGTATAAGCTGGGCATGGTGGTGCATGCCTTTATTCCCAGCACTTGGGAGGGAGAGAGGCAGGCAGATCTCTGTGAGTTCAAGGCCAGTCTGGTCTACATAGTGAGTTCAAGGCTAGATGGGACTATAGGGAGACCCTGTCTCAAAAAGACCAAAAAAAAAAAAAAGGAAAAAGGTATAAATGCTGATTGAATATCTGCTATGTATTCAAACCTGAAATATAAAGCCAAAAGCTATATATATATATATATATATATATATATATATATATTAGTTTACAGGAAATTATTCTCACATGCAGTAAAAGGAAATTGAAAGTATTATCTTTATATTAATTGCACCACATAAACTGGGCACTGCTGTGCACACATGTCTAGTGTAGGCTACATGGCAAGACCTTGTTTCCAAAAATGTGAGTTCATCTCATGGTCTTGCACTTTGCTCTACATTTATTCCAATAGGACTTGACATTTGGGGTTCACATGACAAGAATAGAAGTTAGGTTTATGATGCTACCCTGAGTGTGGTGGATCCAAGGACAAGCTGAATGCTATTATGGGCAGCTCATGAATCAAAGCAAATGGTAGAACCAGGCTGTTTATCATCATTCACTGATGATATCACTGCCTCCTACTGCACACTTGTCCTCAGCATTTCCCCTCCCCACATCTCCATGCTTTCCTGACCCTCTACTTTTATCTCCATGAATTCCATTTTCCAACAAAGCTCAAACCATCTCCTTCCCCTACTCTTTTTTTTTAAAGATTTTTTAAAATTATGTGTACATTTTGTCTTTCTGTGTATGCATGGCACATGTGTGTGGGAGACTGTGGAGGCCAGAAGAGGACTTCAGATCCCTTAGAGCTGGAGTTGTAAGGGTGCAAGGAATCAAACCTGGGTCCTCTGGAACAGCAGCAAATGCTCTTAACTTCTGAGCCACCTGCTCCATCTTTAAATTTTGTTTTGAGTCCAGAATGCTCTCAAACTTTTGATCCTCCAGCCTCCAAGTGCTAGGACTACAGGCATGTGTCACTATACCTAGACCTTTTTTTTCTTTTTTAAAGACAGAGTATCACTATCATGCCCAGGTTGCTTTTAAATTGGGCTCAATGATCTTCCAGTCTCAACCTCCTAAGTAGGCAAGATTACAGATGTACACCATTGTGGCCACTGAACTACCTTCTTAGTAATAAAAGCAGTTGCCTTTTATTCAAAACTAAGCACTGAAGTGCTTGCTAAACACGATATTGGTTAGATGATTTGCATACAGTATTTCTAATATTTACAAAATATTTTCCTAAACCCTGTAATTAGTTGCCTATAATTTCTCTAAATTGGCATAATCCTTTGACAATGAATAATTTACCTTTATGTTACAATATTGTTTCGTTGTCTTTTCATCCTCCTAAATGCATGCTGCTGGTCAGCAACAAAGTTCTGGATTTAGAGCAGCTCATTTACAAAACAGGAACATAGATCTCTAAGGTTCTCCCCAGCCTCAGGTGGCTTTGATTCTGTAACTTTAAGAACAAGAGCTGCTAGTAAACTTCATGCATGGTTTCCATGAGTGTCAACCTATCTCAGAAGCCTCTGCTAGCAGAAGACAGAAAGATCAAAAGACATAGTTGTTGACGTATGTCATTGGTTTCTGTTTCGCGTTGCTTATTGTAGTACTGGAGATTAAACCTAGGGCCTCTCACATGCTAGGCAAGTGCTCTAGCACTCGGTGATATCCATAGCCCTCTTTTCACTTTTTATGTTGAGAGAGGGTCTCATTAAGTTGCCCAGGTTGGCCTTCAACTCACTCTATAGCCTAGGCTGACCTTGACCTGTCATCCACCTGCTTCAGCCTCCAAAATAGTTGGGCCTATACCACCAAGTCCAGCAATCATTTCATAGTTAATTAAAAAAACAAACAAACAAACAAAAAAACTGGTAAGAGAGCTGGGTGTGGTGGTGCATGCCTATAATCCCAGCACTTGGGAGGCAGAGGCAGGTGGGTCTTTGAGAGCTCAAGGCCAGCCTGGTCTACATAGTGAGTCCCAGGACAACTGGGACTACAGGGAGACCCCTGTCTCAAAAAAAAAAAAAACTGATAAGAGAAGGTGGCGTGACAGCTTATACTTACACCTATAATCCTAACTCTTGGGAGACTGAGGCAGAAGGGTTGCCTTGAGTTTGAGGCTAGCCTGGGCTACATAGTGAGTCTTTAGTCTGAGCTAGAATATGAGACCCTGTCTCAAAAAAAACAGATACAGGGCTAGTGAGAAGGCTCAGCAGGTAAAGACACCTTGCTGCCAAACCTGACAATGTGAGTTCCATCCCCAGGACCCACATGTAAAAGGAGAGAGCCAACATCAGAAAGCTGTCTTCTGGCCTGTGTGCGCCCACACGCGCACACACGTGCACGCACACACACACACACACACACACACACACAAAATAAATAATAAAAATGTATTAAAGTTGTTTATAAAAAGCCAAAATAAATTCAACCAATAAACAGACAAATCAGTAAGGGGAAAGAAATGGTAAAGTTCAGGAAGGCTAAAGATGGATGGATTCTGTTCATGAAAGAGCCAGTGTGAGACAATGGGACTTCCTGGACTTTGAGCCCAGGATTTCTCCAAAGCCTTGACCCACCCCTTTCTTGCACAGGGACTTCCAAAACTTATTTGTTGTGATATTTGCTGCCACAAGGTGTCATCTAGCATCTGCATTGCTCACTGGAGATTTTTTTCCTCTTTCAGTTTCTTACTATGTTGGAGCACTGGGGACTCACACTGAGATCAAGAGAGTGGCAGAGGAAAAGGTTACTTTGCCCTGTCACCATCAACTGGGGCTTCCAGAGAAAGACACCCTGGACATTGAATGGCTGCTCACTGACAATGAGGGGAATCAGAAGGTGGTAGGTACACAACTGCTACTGCTTTCCTCTCTTGACCCTCGTGTGCTTTCTTCAGCCTCTCATTCAGTTCTTCTCATCTGGCTTCTACCTGAAAGACTTCACATACAAAACTACAGAAAAGAACATGGGGTCATGGCACACCCATAGAATCCTAGCACTCAAGAGGCACAGGCAATAAGAACTCTATTTTGAAACCAGCCTGGGCTACATAGTGAAACCTTGTCTCTAAGAAGTAAAGGAAAAATAGAAGAGTTTGGGTTGTGAAGGTGAGAGAGTCTTTGGGCTAGCCAGAACTACAACAAAATTACCTGGAATTTGGTGAGAGAATCTATATCATTAACATCTTTACCTAAGGAGGGGACTAAGATATAGCAGCTTGATCCCCTAGTCTAGTAGGAGTCCCCAAAACCCAGAGCTCTCTTCCTCCTGTGCCTCTGAAACAATTACTACATGCCCAGGCTTCAGCTTTGCACAAAGTCATGACCATCTTCAGTATCTAAGACCTGGTCCATAGATTGTGGATGCAGAGGAGCAAGTATAAGATGTGACTGACAGCTGCTCACCAATGAAACTAGACTGCATGAAAACTGGTTCTGGAGCCAGACAATAAAAGAGGAGGCCTTTTGCCCAGGCTCACTCTGGGGAGGTCATAACAGACTTTTGGTGTCACATGCTTCTGGCAGTGTGCACACAGCCTGTAGTACTTGCCCTCCTGAGGACCCACTGAGCTGCCTATCACTGGAGAATAAGGAGAAAGGTGACTTTGTTTTCGTCTTGGTCTACCCTAGTTGCTGAGGAGCTGCATACTGTCAGGGGTATTGGTATATCTCACCTGCTGTTGGAGGTGTGTGGCATGTCCCTTCATAATGTTTGCCTCTGCTGTGAGTCTGAGGCTGACTCCAGTTTTATGCACCTGTTTTTGTTTTTATGACTTACTGTGTAAACACAGAAGTATTTCCTACAATGTGTTGGACAATTTTCTCCATAAATAGAGATGCTGTTCAACAATGGATAGGGTTACATTTCTATAAGCCAATGAGAAACATCATTATAAGTTCAGCACATATTTAATATACCTATCCCACTGAATATCAAAGTTGGACCTGGGCTCCCTTAAATATGTCCATATGATTTATATTAACCTAGGGCAAAGTGGTCTAGCATGATATTTATTTTATAATTAATAATGTGTTGAATGTCTTATGTGAAAAATAGTTTTTATGATTTTGAAAAAATCTCTAGCTTGGGGAAGCTTCTTTTTTTTTTACAGAACTTTCTTTCTCTGATTTAAAAAAAATGAAAAATTGTCCTTTCCTCTGATCTATCTCTATTACTAATTTCATAAGATGGTTTGTGCTGGGAGAAGCTAAGATTTTCACTAAAAATAAATTTCAGCATCACACTGGAGTTTAACCTGCTTTAAAAGCTGTCTGTACCACCTAGTTATTTTGATGCTACCTGTCATTTTGCTCAACGCTGCATCATTCTAAGACGACCTGTTCTCTGCAGAGCAAGGTCACCTTGACCTGAGCATGTTTACTTCAAGAATTCTTGGTCAATCTCAAACATGATATTCTCAGTACTGAATGAAGCAAACATGTCTGCATGCCTATAATAAAAATCCAAGACTGAATCTGATAGAGACTATCCTCTGACCACACTTGAGTCAGGTTCCCGAGTTCTTCCTGACCAGGCCTGATGCTGATCTTCCCTTTCTGTCCTTGTGGAATACATTCCGACCAACAGTCCTGCTAAGTCATTTCAGTGGAAATCTCTCACTCTTAGTATCTGACCATCTTCAATATCTAAGACCTGGTCAACCTTCAACAATAATTCTCTCAAGTCAGTAAAGCCAGAAGATCTCGTTCTGGTTTGTTTCTTCATTGCTGTGACAAAATACTCTGACCACTACCAACTTGGGGAGGAAAGGGTTTATTTAGCTTACATATCCCAGGTCACAGTTCATCCGGAAGTTCATCAGGGCAGGAACCTGGAGGCAGGGTCTAGAGCACAGGCCATGGAGGAATCCTGTTTACTGGCTTGCTCCCCTGGCCCCTGCTCAGCCTGCTTTCTTCTGCAATATAGGCCCACCTGCCCAGGGGTGGCACCACCCACAGTGGGCTGGACCCTCCCACATCACTCAACAATCAAGAAGATGCCCCTCAGACATGGCCACAGGCCAGTCCAATGGAGTCAATTACCCAATTGAGGCTCCCTTAACCCAGGTGTGTCAAGTTGACACTAAAGCTATCCAGCACATCTCTCTTATCCCTGATGTTTTTCCTTAGTAATACAAGGCCCCACTTATGATTTTTGGAATCAGAGTTGAACCCAGTCTCTCTCCCTGTGCTGAATAGCTTTAGTGTCAACTTGACACACCTGGGTTGAAGGAGCCTCAATTGGGAATTTCCTCTATTGGACTGGCCTGTAGCCATGTCTGAGGGGCATCTTCTTGATGAATGATGTGGGAGGGTCCAGCCCACTGTGGGTGGTGCCACCCCTGGGAAGGTGGGCCTGTGTTGGATAAGAAAGCAGGCTGAGCAGGGGCCAGGAGAGCAAGCCAGTAAGCAGTGTTCCTCCATGGCTTGTGCTCCAGCTCCTGCCTCCAGGTTCCTGCCTGAGTTCCTACCTTGGGCTCCCTGATGAACCGTGACCTGGGAGATGTAAGATAAATAAACCCTTTCCTCCCCAAGTTGGTAGTGGTCAGAGTGTTTTGTCACAGCAATGAAGAACAAACTAGGACACTCCCCTACTCAAGATCCCAAGCAATATCATCATTACCCCAATAAAATAGCTTTCTTTACCATCTTTAACAAGTATTACCAAATAATTTTCACTGTTTTGTCTTTGTTGTTTACCAGGACTCACCCAGAGCAGCTCCTGATTTTTCTCTTTAACATCCACACATCTAAGTTTTACTCAAGAGTTTTCATTTGAACTGAAGAAATGAGCTGCTGAATTATATAACCAACTGGACCTTAGAGTGAGGAAGTTAATGTAGGTTTGAAAAGGCCGCTCATAGTAGGAGTTAATCTCAGCACTGAGGAGGCAAATGCAGGCAAATCTCTATGAGTTCAAGCCTAGCCTGGTCTACATAGAGAGTTCCAGGCTTGCCAGGGCTACATAATGAGTCTCTGTCTCAAAAAAAAGAAAGAAAGGGGGTTGGAGAAATTGCTCAGTGGTTAAGAGCACTGGCTGCTCTTACAGAAGACCCAGGTTCAGTTCCCAACACCCACATGGCAGCTAACAATCATCCCTAACTCTCCAGTTCCAGGGGATCTGGTGCCCTCTTCTGACATCCATGGGCACTGTACAACATGGGTGTACTTACAAACATGCAGGCAATACTACACATCCACATAAAATAAAAAGAATAAAATATTTTTTTTACAAAGTGAAATGAAGAAGCAAAGAGGCTATATATATATATATATATATATATATATATATATTCACCCTAACTCCCTACTTTTCAGTTGATAACCTAAGGATAGTCATCCAGTAAGTCATTCAGATCACATGGATTTATTTAGCACTCTGCACCATGCTACGTACCAGGACACAGTTGTGATAATGCCATCCATCATATTTCCTGCCTCCTGGGAGCTTGCAGTGAAAGACATTTAGAAATTTGAAAGGAAAGGAGGGAAGGTGGGGTGGGGTGGAGTAGGATTTAACTCAGGTAGTAGAGCACTTGCTAGCATGCATGAAGATCTGTTCCATCCTCAGCACCAAATAAACTGAGTGTGTTAGTGCACATCTGTAATCTCAGAAGGAGAATCAGAAATTTGAAGTCATCTTGGTTATATAGAGAGTTGGGAGTCCAGTCTTAGTTACATGAGACCCTATCTCAACAAACAAGCCAAGATTCAATTTTACCAGAAATGTTGATGATCTCAGCATGTGATTTATTTATTTATTTATTTTGCCCAAGTCAAAAACTTTAAACCTTTCACTGAAGGAAGACTTTATATGTTCTCTAGAATATATACATTACCACCATTTCTTGCTTTTGGGGGTTATTATTAAGGAAAATAAAGGCTCTTAAACATAAGCACTGCCTGGACAGCCATCTAATAGCAGAGCCTGATGTAAGTAACTAATGGTGGGTCCCCTCTACAGCATGAACATGCAGGGTAAAGGGATGGTATATGTCCCAAGCAGGATGGAGCAAAACTGGAGATTCTGTCATACTGCTCAGAATGGTGCACAGTTTTATTTTAAGCATACAGTGCTTATTTCTGAACCTTTCAGGGCAGTGGTTGACAGATAGCAAGTAATGAAACCCCAGAAAGTGAAGCCACAGGTAAGAGGATTGTTGCAGAAGGAACCACTGGCCAAGAGGAGGAGCAAGGAGAGGTCAGAGCAGCTTCCTATAAGAAAGTGTGTGCAAAACTTCAACTGTTTGTTTTTTCAGACAGAGTCTTGCTATGTAGCCCAGGCTGCCCTCTAACTCATGGCAATCATCCTTCCTCGGCCTCTGAGAATCCTGAGATTACAGGTATGCACTAGTATGCTTGCTGTTTTTATTTTGAGACAAACCCCCGTGTAGCTGAGAATTTGAGATCCTCTTCCCTCAGCCTCCTGAGTGTTAGAATTACAGGTAAGCACCACAACATGCAGCATTGATCTAAGTCTCAACAGGAGCCTTCTTGAAGAAAGCACAACGGCACAGACACAAAGGCTGGAATATTCAGGAAAATCCTAAGTAGCTAGCACAGGTAGTATAAGATGTGAGCTCGAGGGGGCCTGGAGAGATGGCTCAGCAGTTAAGAGCACTGACTGCTCTTGCAGAGGACTGGGGTTTGATTCCCAGCACCCACATGGTGGCTACAAACTGTCCTTAACTCCAGTTCCAGGGGAATTTGAAGCCCTCTTCTGACCTCTGCTGGCATTGCACAACACAGGTGCAACACTCAAAGACATAAAATAAAAATTTAAAAAAAAAAAAAAAGATGTGAGCTCAAGGACAGAGTGTATAAGACCTCCCTGGCCATACT